ATTCTGAATTTTAATGTTTTTGACAAAAATGAATCATTAACTCCTAAATTTTTGATCCATTTTTATACCATTAATTACTTCTGATGGTGGCCACATGGTGCATAATATTTAGGAATTTCACATTTTTGCCTGTTTCAATACAGTGTAAAAGAACTTTCCCCCCAGTAAATTAGATAAAATCACATTTTCTATGTAAAGTACATAGAGAAACATAGGAGTAATTAGTGTGTAAAATGCTGATGTGGTCTGAATCCCATTGGTAATTCTAGAATTAAACTAATTTGGTATACTTTAGAAGAGTTTGGAAAATTCTTATATAGGATGATAATATATATATTTTAGATATTAAACACATTGGTGTCTAAGTCACACACACACACACACACACACCAGGGTAACTTAACTACACACTTTATTAATGTCAGAATAAACATATGATTCTCATATCTACACAACTAACTTGTACCAGAAGACAGAAAAATAAACGTACATGAATGAAGTCCAAATATAAAATTGTTAAAGTCTTTCAGTCATTTATTATTGTTACTGTAAGACTACTGTAAACAGTATAATCTGTAGAAGTAATCTTAATATTTTTCAATTTGTTAGGATTATAATTTCAAACCAAAACCAGTGCTCACATTCATGGAAATAAATATTCGAAAATACTATTGATATTATTTGTATTTTTAGATGCAGGTACATATAGATTTTTTTTTAAAAACCCATTTATTTGATTTAACATTTACAAGACTTTATTTAGCCACTTATAAAAACAATATTAGGGTTTTATTTCAGATACTGAAAGAAATTTAATAAGTGCAATAAATATTGAATTTTATAATTTTTTTGTATGGTGATTAATCTTTCTTTATTTTGATCTATGTGAACATTTTTCTCCAAATTAGTGTTTACTAAGGTAACACATACCAGTTTCAGTAATCTGTTATAGACAAACTGTTGTCAAACATCTCTGTTTCTTTCTCTCTAGCTGTGCCTATATATAAAGTATGTATGAGATAGAAATAATTTAAAGAATTATTTTAACATCTATATATGTATATATATATATATAGTTCCACTATAACACAAAAATATATGCAATTTAATCTAGTTGGGGAGCCGATAATGAAAGAGGGCTCTAGAAATTAGTTCCATGTATTTCACAAGCTGAAAGGGAAAATATTATAGATATTGGTCGACACATCATTATGTAGTACATGCTTACCCTGTGTAGGAAAGCAAAGTTCATCTGTCTTCATGCTTTCAATTCCTTGAACTAAGATATCTAACTATCAAGGGTCAAGTTAATTAGAAAGAAAACTGAAAGATGGGGGAGTAAAACCTTCCAATAGTTTTAGGCTGACATGATAGTGTAACTAGCTGACTGATATAATATTCTATGTATACGGGGGGATTTATTCATTAAAATCAGCCAATTTGAGTAGATGCACAACATCAATCAAATAATTGTCAAGCTCTCTGCTCTGAGGAATGCTTGGTGTGGAAAGCCCCCTGAAGGAACACTACTTGTAGTGGAACATTGACTATAAATTATAAGTATTCCTCATGAATAATGATAGTTTCAACAAAATGTCTAACCACATCCCATTTTGTCATCAAAATTATCTATTCCAGTTCATAGTCAGAATTAGAATCTATTTCATTCTAGTTACATAGATCTAAATGAGCATTTTGTTAGGATATAACATTTTGAAGTTGATTCTGTGTTTGATTATTTATTAGCTCAGCTATATTAATTTCAGAGCTACAAACCAATTTAAACTTGTTCTGGTGCTGCTGTTAAAAAAATACTTTCCTCTTGTATTGGTTAATAATCACATTTTAAGATTCTATGTTTTATACTTTATCTGCTCTAGATTTATCAGTGCCACTTTGGATCAAAAGTTCTTGAAATAACTCGAGCAAGTATAACATCTGAAATGCTCACTTCTCAGTTGAATATCTGGTTTCTAATTTCTCAATCAGAATGTAAGATACTGAATTTTCTTGGACCAGAGCTGGTTGCTGAAGAGGCTTTAAGAACACAAGTAGACCTTTTGTACAACCAGTATGATACCTCACTTTGCTTGATATAAGATCTTCTCCATGCAAATGTCTTTTGATAGTTTTATCATTTCACATGTGTGTTGCTTTCATGAATGTCTCATGAATCTGTTTTGTGGCACTCCCTTGATACTAAAAAAAGTCTTGTATTCTCCCTTTTGTTTATGGTCTTGGCAAAATAAACTTGGGTGCCAGTTAGTCACTGATTCTCACCTCCTAAAAGTGTGGTATCACCTTTCTTGCAAGTCATTAATTTATATTATTAGTGCTATGAAGAGTAATATGATTTGTACTATTTTATATGCTCTGCATTTAAATCCTCTCCTTCAAGATCAGTTTTGATATGACAGTAACCTTCGTTATTACTTGCTCTTGTTGCAGCTACAAACCTCCTGATAGAATCAGGCTAACCTGTTTGATGAGAAAGCCCTCTTTTTGGATACTTGACACACTTACTATAGTCTGTTAGGATTTGTCGTCTCTTTGGGTTTATTTTAATATCAGGACCTTCAGTCATTGCTTCTGGATGGTTATCTCATATGTTTTTAAGCTTTTGATTTGTAGGTTTTCCAAGATTCTGTTTTAGTTGCTGTTATAATGCAAAATGATGCAATTTGATGAATATAAATAAACTTGGAACATTCTTTTTGCAAAATGTGATTTAAAAAGAGTTATTTTTATTATCTTTTGTGAAATTTTGTATACCTGTTTTGAAAAATAATTCATTGTGTTTATGGAAAATACCACAAATGAATAAACAGTGGACTTGCAAATGACAAGATAACTGGAGGTCAGATTTCACAAATGATCTCTTTTGACACAGTTACTACATACTTATGAGGATCACATGAAATCATTTTCTCCATAACTGTATCTCCATATTACTCTTTTATTAAAAATGGATTAAACTTTTAAATTTTAAGCTTTCAAATTCAATTTCTTGTTTTAATTTACATTTGGAAAATAAATAGATTTAATGGCCACAAAAGCCATAGGGCCTTCATACACAGGTTTGTACATTTGAACCCTTATAAAATTGCCCTGACCTCACATTTTTGTACTGCTACCCATTTTATACTATCCAGGGATGTATTTATCTAAATAATTTGGATTTCTCTTTCAGCTTCAGAAAAAGATAAATTGATTTTCATGGCACTGGTTCCTTGACTAATCAACACTGAAATATCTTCAGAGTTTCCTTATTGTCTGTAGAGAACTTTCTATTACTGCTAGAGGGGACTTTGAAACTTCACAAAAGTTCTTATGCTTGCTTGCTTATTACCGAAGCAGATCAAAATATTGTATTTTCCAGGAATATAATTTGTTGATTTTTTTTTTGTAATTACCACAACTTTTGACTGTTAGGTGGCATTATTGTGGTGTTAATGATTAACATAAATATTTGCTAATCTAGGATGTTTCTGGAATATTAACACTAGCTAATAGGGAATGCCTTAGATAAATTAGGAAAGATTCAATTAAAAAAAACTACAGGAATATGTATATGTTGGTTTGATTGATTCAGAAGTTGTTAGCTAATGAAATTTAGTGTTTGGATACAGTTTCAGTTTAGCATTCAAAACAACATTGCAACTCCAGTAGATTTGTATAGGGAAGCACATTACTCTAGGAGATTTGTATGTATAGCTGAAGAAGACAGACCAATGCTCTCTTAAAACATGTAGTATGTATTACATTTTTCATTATGCTTACAAATTGTTGTGTATTATACATACAAAACTCCAGTAGATGTCAAAGAGGTGAAACTAAAAGTAAGCTTAATTTAGATTGGGATTACTTTGAGATGAATAAGTTTTTTTTTATATTTGAATTCCTGAAAATATACATAAATTTGATCAAGCTGTTTTGATTTCTATTACACACGATATGATTAGTTACTGTCTAGTTGTTTTATGTTCAATACATCATCATCTGTTTGATTTTAAGGAAATATGTGGACACCATTGAACCTTCAAGGGGTTGGCTTCATAGTACCTTAATTATAAACATTTACATATGTTTTAAGAAAATAAGCTTCTAATAAATGTTAGTTATTTAAGGGATTACTGGGAATACTTATGTTAGCTTTGTTATGAAAAAAGACCTCATGAATGGAAAGACTTTTTATTGTGTGGAATAAATTTGTGCGTGATCTAAGTTCATTCTCAAGCTACTTGTTCTAAAGAATTAATTGAGAATCAATTATTTTACCATAAGCGTATTGTTTAGAAATACATTAAAAATAAAAGTATAATTATGTGATAAATAAAGCAATCTGTATCTAGAAACGGTTTTATAATATCATGAACAGTATTGTAAACTTAGAATATTGTTTGATCTTACCAGCCAAAAAAGTTTAACTGTTTATGATATTTCACATCTGAGTAGAGTAGCAGTTGTATTTTGGACCCTTATTCATTTAGTTAGCCAATGGCTTAAGAGGCTATCTCATTTTCTTCATGATAGAATTTTACTACATTAAAAGAATATATTTCATTATTTTTATGTAATGTTATTGGACTCTATCTCTCACAATAAAGTCACGTAAGCGTAGTTTTTCAAGAATATTCTTGTTTCTTTCGCTTCTTTCCCTGTCACAATATAAAACAAGAATCTTATGTGTTGTACAAATGCTTATCAGGAAACTTTAATAGAAAATGTTTTATAACATGTTAAAATTTCATATAAATAGTTTGTATTATTCACGTAGGAAATAGTAAGGAAAACTAGTTTTTGAATCATTTACTCCTTGCCGTATACTAACCTTTCAAAGGAATGATATAAATCAATTGCTGTCATTTTCTTTCTTTAATTTGTCATGAATAAATATTGTGCATTTTGGAATATTATCATTACTATATGTGAATAAACACAAAATATTGAAGAATAATGATTGTAAAAAATGATCTTTGTGGTATATATCTTTGATATAGGAACAGGGAAAGGAGGACAAAGCATCTGGGGCACTAAGTTTGAAGATGAATTTAGGGATGAGTTAAAGGTAAAAAGAAATATGAAAAATGCAGCATGTATGATTTTCTGTTGAAATGGGAGACGCTCAAATTCATTATCTGAATTTGGCAAAATGTTTGTTATAAATTGCATGTTCTCAACTTAGATCGGTTGTTTGTAAATACCTGTTATCTGTAATACTTCTATATTCTTAATTAATCAGAGCCCTTCATCAGGTCTAGTTAGTTAACTATAATAAACCACCTTCAGTAGGTTTAAGCTTTTCTTTCATTGGATCTAAATGTTTGCTCAACCCTCAGTTACATCATTGCTTCCATAAAAGAGATTTATTTTTAAAGCAAAAATACAAAGGCTTCATGCTTTCGAGTATGTTGTAGGTGTGTAAATGGATTAAAATATGTAATTGTGAACTGACATACCACAAGCCTTGAACAAAACTCCCACCCCCTACATATATTAATGTGAACTGCACCAGCCTATGATATAATTATCATTAGACTATAGCTCTTCACCATTAGGAGGGTGACATAACATCTATAGGCAGTAAACACCTTGAGCTCTAGTATTACAACAAAGGCTGATTATTTTACTTGCCACTGCTTTGTTGAGGCATGTTGTTTTTTTCTTAAGAATTAATGAAATTTTTGTACTTGTTATTTTAAACTTTTGTTAAATTTGTAGAGTAATCTTTCTTCCTTTTATTTTCTTGATTATGATAAAGAATGATACCAAAGTTTAAAAGTTTCAGTTAGAACTTTAATTCAAATTATCTTAAATTTGAGTTTTTCCATTTAATCATGTTTGTAAATTTTAGACATTGTTCCAGTAGTTGTGATAAGGCCACTTTGACAGTACTTTTTCTCATTGTTTTAACTCAACTTGTGGGTTTTATTTACGTTGTTTTGCATTTCATCATTACATCAGTGACCTAGGCCCATGTACATTAGACATACATGTGTACCTAGCCAACTTACTATCACTGAGCACCAGTTTTTCTATTCTGATCTTGGATCCAGGATTCACAACTACATGTTTTTATTCCTCGAGCCAAGGCTACCCCATTTTTGGATGAACTTAATCAATTGTTTTTATATCTACTTATTATTTCTTAATCGTCCCTTCTGTTAGAACAATTAGATGTTTCCTCAAATCCAGTCAATCTACTTTCCCTGTACGATCATTCTGACTCAAATTATCTCATTTACCCAGGTTTGAGCTGTTTGTTGTTCTCCCTCCAGTAGTTTATCTCCTTCCACTTTGACTGGTTAGGTTATACACCTCTTCTAGCTAGTTTTTTCTTTTATGAATCATGACACTTTTCTTATTTTTCGTATCTCCTTCCATGATATTTGTCATCTCATGGCTTCTCTTGCCTCTAGCCATTAATACCCTCTGTATGAGATTACAGGCAAGGATGTGTGACTACACATTTGTGTCACATTACTTACTCCGCATATACAGTTTCAAACATCCATGGGTTTTATCTTCCTTCAGTTACCATTCTTCACTGTTCACAGAGGCTCTCGGGAGGTGAGTTGGTAATTTTTTTTTATTTAATTACAGTTCTTGCAACAACTTTATTCAGTCTGTGTATTATGGAGACAATGGAAGCCATCACATGGCTAGTGTTGCTTCACAGGAAATACTTTTTTAAGCCATGCATAGTGCTTGCTCTTGAAATGGGGTCTTTTGTAAGACTGCTTCAGTAGTATTTATATACAGGGTGGCCCAAAATTAGGTATACAGTTGATAATTGATAATGTATTTAAGGTAATTGAATTGAAATATACAGTTGATAATTTATTTAATTGTACTTTACACATGACATAAAAGTATAGGAAATTTAATCCCACAAGTGTTCAAATTGAAACCTGTTGCTGTTCACAAATCTGGAGTCTTCCTGCCTCTTCCATTGGTCATTAGTCAGGTTACCAGCCATTATCTTCTTATCACCTAAAATCAATTTAATAGACTCAACATATGCAACTCAATAGCTTCTGCAACTCAAAACAATTCAGTAGATTCAACATATGCAACTGTATATCTATTTTTGGGCCAACCATATAGATTAATACTACCAAAACAGTCTTATGAAAGACCCCATTTCAATAGCCACTCTGTGTATGTCACCTTCCAGGCTTTCTTCAGGGAAAACAATAACAGTACCAGGTGTGTGCCCGCCTTTACAACTGGCTAGTGTAGGACCTTATGCAGATGATAGAAAATTCCTCCTTTTTTTTTTTCAGTATTATCCCCTATGTGAGTCCTCTTATTTATCTAGTGGAATAATGGGATCTCTTGAGGTATCACTTGCTCTGAACAAAACCACCACCACTCAACCTGTGAACTGATATTCCATGGAACAATTATCCAATTTCGACTGATTTGACATCAATGAAAAGTAAACTTTATTAGTATATGTGGTAGAGGTATTAACAGTACCCTACATGCTCACAAGTAGTATTCTGTGGTTTGCTACTGACAAAGCCTTGTGCATCGGTGCTATGTCATGTGGCTATAGAACCCATTCTGGGTTTGTCTGAAAGTAAATACATGGTTACCAACACATGTGAGGTAGCTAGTTGAAGACTGTGCCAACAATTTACACTCAACACAGTGGCAGCAATCCAGTGACTTGTTGGTGGAATATTCTGATATATTTGTGGCACTAGATTGCTGATTGGATCAAACAACAATCACAAAACATCACATAAATACAGGTGACAAATGTCTGAAGAAATAACCTGGAGCACTAGGGATGTAGCTATCTCTGAAGTATAGCCTTCCAAGAGTGCTTTTTCATCTCCACTGGTGATTACCTAGAAGATATGTTCAGGTTATGTATTTAGATGGGTTAACATGGTAACTTGCAATTGATGTCTTCCAAGCACCACAAACAAGGGGTTGCCTGGATGCATTGGAAGGGACCTGGTGGTTCCATACATTAGACCTGGCAAGACAAACTAGATGAGTGACCAGACCTAACACTGCTTTCATTGGAAGAAGTAGCTTGTATGTGTTTTATGTCATGCTATTTGTTCTGTGTAACATTCCTACCACTTTTGAGGGGCTAATGGAGCTTGCACCAAAGGGAATGCATTAGGAAAAGTGTTTGATATGTGCCAATGGTCACATGTTCAGGTCTGTGGCTGACAACCTGAAATGAAATTGGTATTCTAGTTGATAAAAAAGGCAGGCTTGAAACTGAAACCAGGAAAATGTGTGTTCATGTTTAGGGAAGTGGAATTCCTCTGTCATATTGTGGATATGCCCCATGGATCTTGCTGAAATATCAGCAATGTAAGATTGGTCTAAACCTCTGACCAAATGAAAAGTATTCAATTTCCTTAGTTTCACATCATATTACTGATCATTTGTGGCCAACTTCTCCAAGAGCATCTCACCATTACTAGATCTCATTAAAATGGAGACACTCTTCAGATGGAGTGAGGAATGTGAGAAAGCATTTGAGTCCCTGAAGTGTGCTTTAGTAGAAGCCCAGTGTTAACCTTTCTACAAATAGATTGTGAGTTCCTGCCCAGGTGCCTGGGCGAATGAAACCTGGTCATCCTGTAAAGCCTGCAAAGCATCTTTAGGCTATATCTTCATTTAATGATAAAAACCATAGTATTTGGCTTTTCTTTGCATATAGGCGCTTGATACATTAAAAACGACTGAAATAATAATTTGAGTAATAATTAATACGTATTTGTTACTTTATAGATTTAATAGATATTTGTTGTTACTTTATTAATGTTTTTTATGCTTATACTATTAGGTGGAAACGGCTGCTGCTATGATTTTGTCTGGTTTATGAGCTCGTTGCTGTCCTAATTTAGGATCTTCTTTTTAATAAATTCTTGAAAATGTTAAAAAAGAGAGAGAGAAAGGGGGCCTGGTGAGGATGTTTGCCCCGGGGCCCGTGTTGGCTCTCGATGTTCCTGGACGTAATACAAATAATATAAATTGGAGGTGGTGTAGCTATACAAGTCAGTTCTAACTTTATTATTCTGAATGATGTTGGTTTAGGATGCCACTGAAACATGCAAGTCTCTCTCATTTTGGAGCTGTGCCCTGTTTTTAATTAATCTTATTTATTGTGCAACTAATAATGTTGTATTATTTTTAATGTTTAATATTAAGCAAATTTTGGCATTCCTTCAATGTAGGTTGGGCCTGGCCTATTGGTTAGTGTTTTGGACTTGTGACTCCAAGGGCCATGACACTTAGCCCAAAAGACAAAATCGTCATCCACACTTTGAGGCCTTGGGTACATTACAAGAATGACAGTTAAATCTCACTATTTGATTAGAGTAGCCCAGGAGATGGTGGTTGGAGCTGTTGAGACTTAGCTGCCTTCTCTTTAGTCTATCAGCTCAAAATTACAGAGTTGGCTCTTTTGTAGCTTTGTGTGAATATCTGAAACCAACTCCACAAAAAAAAACTTCAAATTGTGGATATTTGATTAAAGATGACCTGCAAAAAGTGTACATATCATAATGATAGTTGCTGAATCTGACGGTAACTTTCTAAAATACTCACAAAATTTCAGTCTAAAGGTGGAAGTTCCATATTTTGTACAAATCATAGTGTTGCTGTATTTTGCAAGATCAAATGTATTTCTTATCATTATACGATTGTTCAATAGTGTTTATAATAATATTTTTTATTTAAATCTAATGTGGATGTTATTCCACAGCATAATACCAGAGGAATTATTTCAATGGCAAATAATGGTCCAAACACAAATGGGTCACAGTTTTTCATTACCTATGGCAAGCAGCCTCATCTAGATTTGAAGTATACAATTTTTGGCAGGTAAGTTAAACTAATAAATCAAGTTTTTCATCCCATACAGCAAGCAGCCTCATCTAGATTTGAAGTATACAATTTTTGGCAGGTAAGTTAAACTAATAAATCAAGTTTTTCATCCCCTACAACAAGCATCCTCATCTAGGTTTTAAGTATAAAATTTTGGGTACCTGAAAGTAAAACTATAATTCACAGTTTTTCATCATTTCAAGTGAGCATCCTCAACCAGATTTGAAGTATAAGATTTTTGGTAGGTAAAATTTAGACTATTGATTCATTGTTTCTCAACACCCATAACAGTAGTGAATAACCCATATTCTCCCCCACCCCTCCCTACACCCTAAAATAAGCTTGACATATAGGTCATTTTTACTAAGATGTATAATTTTTGGTGCGTGACTGATAAAGGGGGGTCTTGTGACCCTTTAGGGTAGCTAATGGATTAGCACAGATTGCCCACCCTTGACCTACAAAAGCCAGTCTTATCTACATTTGAAGAATACAAATTTTGGTAGGTAGGATAAACTACTGGGTTACATTTTTTTTCCTCACCTATATCAAGCAAAATGATATGATTTGAAGTATATAATTACTGGTAGGTAACTTAATTAGTCTTATATTTCATTTTTAATTATTAATTATTTAAAGTGTTACATTTAATGATACCAAACTTCAACTATGCTGAATTATTTTTCCATCTCTCATTGTTACGAAAGAAAGCTTCTCCATGATTTGAATGATTTTCTCTGACATCTCAACAACTTTTTTTAACTTCTTAAAAAATTGTTTATATTTTAGTAAATGTAATAAATATTGTTATTTCTTAAGTGGAACTGTCACTAATTTGAACCAAATTTGTTTTCCACTATGAATTTTTTGTCTTCTAGGCTTGTGACTGTTTATGGATGTTCAACAGTGTAACTTTTTCAGTTAACTTTCTCAGAGCATCTTAGTATTAGGTCTTTGCCATGGAACAAATATCAGGATGTTTTTGTTTCAATGGAATAAAAGTATTTGATTTTTTTTTTACATTTAACAGTGTTACTTATTTAAATCCCATGTATACATTCAGGTAATTTTTTCTGGAACTTCAAACTTATCTTGTGGTTCTTTTTTTTTTTTCTTTTGCCAACACAGACATTGAAAGTCAGATAAAATATTGACCCTCAACTTGAAATTAACTGCTTGTTTGTTGCCTATATTTTTATTCACAATTGTGTTCCTTTCTTCAATCACAAATATAATATACAGTAGTTGATTTAGACTTTAAAAATTTAAACCTCTGATCACTATGGGAAAATTGTGAATTTTGCTTACTTTTGACAAAATTAAAAGTATGTCAGTAGTTTTTACTTTTTTTTTTTTGATACATAGTGCATTTTGGAAAATTTTCGAAACAGCATAATACTGCTCACCTCACTGTTTGGTAAATCCGTTGTGCACTAGATACTGTTGTACAAGTATATAAAGTAAAGTGTATTCATATGATCCACTTAATTCAGCATTGGATTAGCCTTTATTTATTGATTAAGACCTGTTTTCATTTGTTTTGTTGTTGTCTGTCAATTGGGATATTCTTCTTTCTGATATACAAGTAGAGGGACAATGTAGACTAGTATGTGAACTTTAGATTTGTAACTTTTAATCTGTGTGATGTGGACCGATAAAATTTGGATTGTGTGTGTGATAGAATGTTTTTCAAAACTGAAAATCTGCTTAATTAAAACTGAAAATAATCTGATAATTGTTTATCTGCTTAGTTTTAATTAATTGATGAAAAATAGAAATTGTCTTTGAAACTGAATCATATTTTTGAGTATGATGTAAGATCTGTGAACTTTGTTCTGTTATCACAGGTTGACTTTTTTTTTACTTGAATATTCCTTACTCTTACTTAGGGTGATTGATGGATTAGACACATTGGATGAATTAGAAAAATTACTGGTTAATCCAAAGACATATCGGCCACTACATGACACTCGACTAAACAGTGTGATTATTCATGCCAATCCTCTAGCAAAATGACTTTTTTTTTCCATACATTTTATTGTATATAGTTTATATAAGCTGTTTCAACGTGGTTTGTGGACATTTGTGTTTGTGATTCTTCTAGATAGAGTCAACAATGGTGGAATGAAATGACCTAAAACATTAATTGAACTTTTGTATAGTAAAGTACAGTCAACATAGTTACTTGATTTTTTATTTCATTGAAAATACTCATTTAACTTTACTGTGCCTTATGAAAGAATGTTCATCTTGAAACACCACCATGCTGATCCAAAACTTTGTCTTAGAGCCTCAGTTTTTTTTTTTACTTGCTATTGTAATAACATTTACCATTAAGGAAAAGGTAAAATATTAATTGAAATCACCCATTCTTGTTTCTTGACATTACTTACTCGGTAGGAATTAATCAGTTAATTCATGAACACAATGGGTGTGTATTTTATTGGACTATAATTTGTATAAACAATTACCCCCCTCCCTAAAAAATCAAACTTTAGTGTACATTTTTTACTTAAGTACTGTAAAACAAATCATTCCTTGACATACATACATGATACATAGGTTTTAAATCTGCTATAAAATTCAAAACTAGTTTTTCTACACAGAACACAATATTTTTGTCCAGTTTTTTAAAACTAACTAAAGTGCATTTAATATTTTATGGTAAAGAATGTGTACATTTATCCAAAGTAGTTTAAAAAAAAACAGATTGCTAAAACACTCAGTTGTGGTGAGAACTTAACATAAATGTTTATTTTTGTTATATTTCCAAGTTGTTTTTTTTAATACAGTTTGCTTAAGTTGTTAGCTTTGTACCGTAGTTAATAAGTGAAATTCAACACAAACGTAAATATTTGAAAATACAATTTTTTTTTTAATTGCAAGAGATGCAACTGATATCTTAGCTACATGCCCTTTATTGAGACTAGGCTTTATTCTGTAATTGAAATTATGTGTGGTTTTAAGTCACTTTTAGTAGTTTATAAAGGACTTTAAGGTTGGGTTGTAAAATTGACATTTCATCCCTTAACGTGAATGATAGGGTGTCTGTCTTCCTTCTGGTTAATAATGAAAAATTAAGGACAGCGACAGATAGCCTTTGTAGCTTTTCCATACGTACATGTTATTTTGAAAAGATGCTAATGTTTTTTTTCGTCTCAAAACAATGTAAAGGTCTTAACTTGTAGTATAATTTATACGATTCCTTTCTATTTCATCTGGTATTTTATGTATTGTTATATTTGAATTGTAAAGTATTACTGAGTGTTTTTTTTAATACAGCATTCCGCAACAAACATCAATGTTTCTGATTGGTCCACCATTCATTTCGTGGTCTCAAGTCATCGTATTTATTGCTCTTATTGACTAGGACTTTTGTTAATAGGTGTATGAAACTTCCTACACATAAATCCAAAATAAACGAAAATTTGGGACAGTTTTAAAGTAATGCTCGAGATATTTTATATTTCCAAGACTGTAAATTTTTTGTTGTACAAAGCCACATCATATTTACAAATGTAGCTGAAATACAGACGTTATGGATGCAAACCTTTAGTATTCATGTGCGATATAATGTCACATTAAGACTGACAATAATTTAAATCATTTTTTTTAACCATTACAAGTTTCCAGTGAGAAGACGTATAATGTCTTTTCAAATATACCGTGTATGAGCTCAACAGGATGATTGCGGTTATACCGCCATCTGTATCAGTAATTCACAAAAATTTTAGAATGCAGAACGCGTTAGTCAGCGGATCATCACGTTTTGTAGAAATATGTGTAATATATTAGCACAGTGAAACTAATAATAATTTTAATCACATCATCGTATATTATAACCCAGCTAGCCTCGTGAACTCTAGTATTGTGAGAAAGGCCTCGCCAACAGCCAGGGTGGAATTCAAATCAGTGGCTGCTCTTCATAGGAAGAAAAGGAGGCCATGCCTAACTTGAAGATTTTGAAAAAATATTTTTTTTTATACTATTAGCTATTTTATTTGTTTGGGTATAAAATTTTTGAAAAACTACAAATATTTGTAGCAAAATGCTCAGAAATCTTCCAAATGGCATCTTGTGACATGAGGCACAGAACAGTTGTAATTCTCGGCTTTTTTTCTTTCTTTTTTGTCCTCTGTACAAAATTTATCTATGCTTGCAACAGACACACCCAAGCCATCTTACTGGGTTTAAAAAAGGACATTTAAGCCAGCCACACAGCTAAAGGAGACGATTAGAATCTAGTTTTAAAAACAACCAATGAAAATCATTTTAAGAAAAGTTTGTAACAAGAGCGCGGAAGCCTCACAAGTTCGTTGCCTAAAAACATGTCACTCCGCACGTGGGGCTCTGTATGCGTTATAAGTGTAACGGAAAATTTTACTAATCGATTAGAAGTGGTGATGATAGAGCTGTTGAAGAGTTACATCTAATCAAGACTTATTAGTTCTAACTTATGGACGGCTAACACAAGTAGCCCTTGTATAGCTTTCCATGAATATTTAAAACAAACCGAATCGTCCAATGCATTATCTGAATACAATAGGCAAATTGTTTGGAATTGAATTTTTCCACATGAACATGACCTTACGCATACGTGAACTAAGGGACCAGGTCAAATACTTCTATGGTTTAGATACAGCCAAACCAAATTTCATATTACTGAAAGCATTAAACCAACAATACATTACGTTCCAAGGACTTTGTTAGAATCTTTGAACCGAATAATGGGATTGATTGTCACTTTCATAACTCACCTACTGTTCCAAGTAGAGCTATATCACGTCTCGAATCTTCGATCTTGTTATCCGTACCCCAAGATGCTAACCCTAGGCCATGTCCAGCTGAAGTGGCACGATATTCATGAAAGTAATGTTTCAAGAATATAATAATATTTCCGAGAATGTGAATTATATATCAATGATTTATTAATTGTATATGCCTTAAACCAAGCATTTAGAGATTTAATAACTATGTATATTGAAGAAGAATGTGATCCTGGATTTAAACAGATTTCAAGATTTTCGAATCTTACCAAATAGTATTGAACTCGTACTTTCCTGGAAGTTTTGTTCATCAAACTCGCTCATCAGTAGAAACTACAACAGGAGCGAGATTTGTAAGGTAATAGATTCACTATGGCCGCCGATAAGAAATATAATTCCGAGAACCAGGCTTATTTTATATTTTGGCTTTTTAATTTTTAAGCCAATTACTTCTTGATATACCGAAAGTGAAAATTCGGGGCTTTTTCAGGACCATGACTTAAAAACGTAATTTCCAGTACTGAATATTTTTAAGTTTTCTTTTTCTTGTTAATCGCAAAGTTTCATAATGAGCTATATCTCAGTGTTATGAGTCCTCAAGCCTAACAACGAGGATGCTTTGAAATTTTGTAATTATTTAACGTCTAGAAAGGTAAATGTTAAAATATTTTTTTGCTCATTTTTCTGTAAGTATAGCCAAATATTTTCAATTAGAGTAAAAATATTAGTAAAAAATATATATATTGAAATGTAAAATAAGCTGAATAAATAGTCATATTGTTGAAAAAATTATCAAGTCAAGAATAACCAAACGATTGGTTAAACTCACTTCAAATTCATTTTATTTTCATAATGTTAAGAGAATTCCTAATTATCGTTAAACGTTGTAATAATAAAATCGATTTGAATTGAATTTCAATCACCGCTTTCATTACTTTTCACTAGTATAATTCTTTCTGCATTTGTTTAAATATGCCTTAATTATGTTTTTCAACCATTTCTTTGTTAAACATAATTAACTTGCTGATTCCGTATTTTTCATTCGAGTTCAAAGCAAAGTATATGGGAGTGACAAGTATTTGGTATTCTCAGTCTGAATAGCATCTTATACAACAGATTGTCTAAACTGCTTGGTCAGAGATACCCAAGGTTCAGGCTTAGTCGTACCTAAGTTTGAACTGCGGACCATATGGAGGACAACCTGTAAGTAGCACCCGTACCTTAGAGGCATACTCTTTGCCGAATAGTGGCTATGATTGTCACTTTTATAATATGCCCATAGCTAATTATAGTATAGCTGACAGTATGGAGTCTATTCGGCGGCATTTCACGGGGTCGAACGTTGGGCATTCTGATATGCAGCCCAGTAAGGGTGAAAAAAAAGTAAGATTAATGTATTCATAGAAAATTACACCATGTTTGATTTGCTTGTAGTGAAACACAAAGCTACCACAATGTTTGATTTTTGTTTTAAATCTTACTTTAAATTATTTTACTTCTTTTGAATGAAAACTAATTACATTATTTCCTGTTTGTTATAATTTGTCTAGAAAATAATTCATTTATTGTATTTTACACGTATAGAGCTTTGAAAGAAATCAAAAAACGTTTCCTTTTTGATATTAAATGTTTGAAAACTTTCAGAAAATATTTTAATATTATGCGGTTACATATTAAACTTTAGTGTGTCTTACAGGTCTCAAATGAAAAAGTTAAATTTAGTGAAAACTACAATTTCCACGTTGTAAAACTGAAATGTAATTCAGTAGTTAGGCTCGAGCACCGGCAGAAAATATGTCCTAACAAATTGACATTTATCCGTGTTCAGTTAAAAATAATTTAAAAGTAACAAGTGTGGATATATTAAAGTGTTAATTTTACTTAAACAATGTGTACATTATGTGCTTCTCGCCTTTTTTCTTATTTTAAATTTACGAATGAAACTAGAAACTCGTACAGGAAAGAAAACAAAAGATTTTAATCGTACCAGACACTGAACTTCATGCTTCAAACTAAACACAACAATCAATAAGCCGTTTTTTTTTTTTTTTGTCAAACATATCTTTTAACATTTTAAATATCTTAGCTTAACCTTCGAAGCATTCGTGACTCTTTATTAAATGCGTTCTTACAACTATAAAATCTACTGTAATTTAAGAAATGGATAACACCTGGCAACTGTGTACAGATGTTGCACAACGCGTTTCAACCGGGAAAAGTGTAAAGCATCAGACTTGGCATTACTTCGAAAAACATTGCATTAGGTTTTCCTCGAGAATTTTAGCAATACATTGCTATTATTAGATCCAAAAATCACCTGCAGATAATATTTTCCTAGTCTGTAATAAAATATTCACGTAACACATAAATCCAAAATAATCTTTTTAAAACATATACGTAGTTGAAAATAAGACACAATTTGATGAAATATATTTAAAGAACATTTCGAGGAACAGACCTGAGAAAAATTATTTCCATTTAATTTTTATAAAGGGTTTGTATTGATAACACAATGAAATGCTGTATCAACAGAGCAACCACGTCTAGGCTAGATATCGCAAGGCCTACTTACACTTCGCTCTACAGCTTTTACGCTTTTTTTTTTTGTTCTTAGTCGCTACTGGATTGTTTCCACTTTCAATTCCAGATATTTTCAATTATATCTCTGCAAACCCGTAGCAACATCTCAAAACCTGATAGGACGAAATATTAACCGATCATGAAATATTGAGGCAGAAAACCTGGGATATGCTTTCAAAGGTTTGAAAAACAACAACAAAATCGGTATGACAATGTAGTCAGATATTCTGGTGTGCCTATTAAACCAGGGGGGCAAGCTTAGTGAAGTGATTAAACAAGAATGAATTTATTCAACGACCCATTCTTCAGTACGTGACACAACGCTTAAAACTGCAAGGATTAATACCAAAATATATTTTATAATGTCTCAAATTAACAATACCTTGCGACCGAGCTTTTTAATAATGTACTCTGCTGCTAGGGGTCTGTGTTTATAATTTTATTCAAAATACAATGGAGGCCAAATATTTTAATATTCAGTTGTCCGTTTGCTGACATACACAGGAATTGTTTTATCATCATCAGTATGTTTGGGCACTCTCCGTTAAGAAACAAAAATAAAAAGCATGACAAAATAATTATTTAAAATTGAAAATAATAATTCAGCTAATTCCTATTGCTTGGAGCACTAAACTTTGGGTATAGCGGAATTAATAGTCTGCCCTTCCACATATCGTACAATTATATTCTAATGTTAATAATACTGAAAGATTAAAATTGGACAGAATATTTCCAAAAGTTTTATGTTTCGTGAATTTTTTGTTTGTGTTCCATGAAACTTCAATGTGGTCAACACACGACGTTTTACATTACTCTAAACTTATTAACTCCATATGAAAGAATCAGCGAACATACTGGATAATCTTGAACTGTACTGTGAAGCTTATCATTATTTAGAATAATCCTAAAGATGAATAAACTTCATCCAATCAGGATCAACCGCCTATCACTAATCGTTACCAGGGCCGTGTTTGCAGTCTTTGTTAATATATGGACATTTACACAATTTTCTTCAAATATCCATGGAACTCCTTTCAGAATTTTATTTTTAAAAAAGGTTATGATAAACTACTGACGAGAGGGAATAAATATAACAAAATTTAATCCTTTCTTTCTTCTCGTGCAACGAAATATTGGATATATATATACTGTAATTTGTTTGCATACTTATCAAACAAACATGCAATTTATTCTTTTTCTAGTACTTTTCTGAAATAATTTAAATTTTTCTGCTGGTACTTAAACGATTTTCTTTCCAAATCATTTTTAGTACTCACATACAACCCTTGTTTCTAACTCCTATTTTCTAATACTTTTTTACACTAATATCTTTTATCTCTTTTAGTGCCTAATTAAAATCCTTGGCTTTTCTTCATATTTATCTAGTAGGAATGTGCAATCGTTGTATTGTTTCTTAACGTGCACTAAAACAAAAAGAAAATTCAGTTATTTTTGTTAAGTGCTCAGTCTACTAATAAAACCCGTTGAGCGTTGCTAACCGTGACAAAGATCACTATGAAATGCTTACATTTTAAGACGTAAAATCTAAATAAAGAAAATTCGAGAAAGATGTAACAACTGGCTTAGAAGGTAGTACAGAGAAACACATGACTGCACTTACCTAATACTTACGAAAAGAAAATGCATATTGCACTAGGTTTGTAAACTTTACACAAATAGAAGAGTAGTAGACATACTGGGTTATATACATAGGTGATCTGATCACAGTAAAACAACAGAATATTTTATGAAAGTCCGAAACATTTATCACACGCAATGTTTCAATTTTCCTTCTTATTAGATGAAGAATCGTAAATTTAAACAAGGTACATGACGCAATTCCCAATAAATTTGTAATGTAACTATTATATATCAATTCTAATTTAAATACAATATTAAGAGAAATAGTTCACAGATAATCTACCGTTAACAAAAGAACTGGCATTGCTGTTACAAGGATTTACAATCTCCATAATAATAGCTTTTGCAGAAACTAGATAATGCTTGTTTTAAGTAATAGTTAATATAATCTATAAGGCTAATCCAAGACAGCAACTCATACTGAGTCAAGAAGTGATTTGAGATCTAGAGGAGACTGATTCAAGAGAAGAACTGATACTGAATCAAGAAGCGATCTGAGGCCTAAATGAGACTGATCCAAGAGAGAAACTGGTACTGAATCAAGAAGCGACTTGGGGCCTAGAGGATATTAGTCCAAGAGAGAAACTGGTATTGAATCAAGAAACGATTTGGGGCCTAAAGGAGATTGGTCCAAGAGGAAACTGATACTGAATCAGGAAGTGATTTGGGGTGCAGTTTTGATAATGTTGAGTATGTTATAAAGGCTTAGGGTAAGCTTCATCTGCCTTGTTTGAGGATAGATGCTCCACTATTTTTTTCAAAAGAAGAAGAAAGTATTGGGGCACAGCTGAGTTGGTAGAAATAATTAATTTTATAACAGACTAAATCATTGAACGTGGCCTTAAAATTATAATGTTGATGACACCGAATATCCTATCAGACGTTAACAAGAATCGCAGAAGATGGAGATTACATGAAAAAGGCAGAACTCATGAGGCGTACAGAGACAAGGCTTGAACTATCTTCGGGTCTTGTTTTGAACCCTCTCGGAATTCCTCCATTGACAGCTTGTTGTCCTGATTCTGAAAGTGCAAAAAAATCTAATATTAAATCAATTCATATGCATGTCCATGTCTACGCTTCTTAGTTCAGGTTTCTGCAACAAAGATAAAAGCTATAATAGCCCCGTGAAGTCCCGATAACAATTTCTGGCTTCTGTATTGGCTTATTCGAGTTTATAACCATTAATTACATATTTATAAATATAGTAGTTCATGTTTCGTGTGTCATATCTGCGTTCACTAAGCTTTTCATATACAGGCATATACAATTCACATATACACACTGTTTCAGGTTTGTACACGTACTCTTAGCAACCCGAATACCGTTTGGAATTCAATGTAAAGTGGATCGCTCGTTCTCTTTGGTTCTTTACACCAGATGGTAAACCATGCTGCTTATTTGAACTGAAGTGATTCGTCGCGAATTAATGTTACTGGCGTTAATATTTAAGAATAGCAGTTTAATAAAAACACTCGTTAACTACGAAGATTTAATCCTCAAACACAGACACATATATAAATCAATATACAGTCAATCGATATCACCTCTCTAACAAACACTTTCTATAACCTCACTGATTAGAAACTTAGTTTCCTTCATATGATCTGATGCAAAAATTATGATGTTTGATGTCACTGAGGGTATCCTATAATGTATAATAAGCATTTTTGTGTTTAAAACAAGCACGTAGAAAACAAGACAAGCTGTTGGGAGAAAATGAAGGACAGTGGGAAGAAAAGTGAAATAAGTAAAAAGCTAAATACGTCGTGAACCACAAGAATACTGTAAGAGTCGAGAGTTATAACAACAGAGTACACTGAAAGAGCTTGTGTCACATGGCATTCGGAATTTTAGTTCTTGCTAACATATGATTATGTCTGGACTTTCGCTCTCTACTCCAATCGCGTGCTTAGAATAAAGATTGATCACCCATTTACAAGCTTGGAAAACGCCCATTCCTTGACACTAGGGGGGGGGGTTACTTTATAATGTGAAAAAATCATTTTATTCGTTATGATATTCGGTTAGTTTTTACGTAAAAATTATTGCGAAGTCTCACAAACACTTTCATGAAGGTTTATCAAAGAACTCTTTTTAAAAACAAATGAAAAACAAGTATATTTTCTAATTTCAAAATTATCAATTACTCATTAATTAAGCAATGCGTTTCTTTTATTTATTTGGTGTGATTGTTATTGCACTTACTTCTCAGAACGAAAGTAATAAAATAATTCGTTTATATGGGGGAAATCGCCCTTTTCATTCCATTTCAAAACCATCAAAAATGGAATGAATAAGATCTGATGAGTTTCTCAATTTAACCACAAAGTAATTTTTCATTTCATCGGATGACAAAAATCTTAACCAGATGGCACTGATGTCTCTCAAGTAATTTGTGAATTTATTTTAACGTTAAAAATAGCATGCTTTTAGGTCAAGCCAAGATTAATCTATTTGCAAGGTTTAGTGACCACACCCAAATTTATCTATTCTGAAATTATCTCAATGAAACATCCAATATCTTGACCGTTAATACGCTCAACTAAATAAACAAACAAACAGCTTTTAAGGCGTAAAGTGAATGAATAAATTATCACAGTCATATTAGAGTTAGCACTATTGCTTACACTCGTAACCAATCTTATAATATTTAAAATTATTGTACAACACTAGTAAAGCCCAAGTTCAGGAATGTTGATTTATTGTAACAATTTTAATATTCAACTATATTCCGGTGGCTCCTTACTAAACACCTTAAAAGCTCTAATTTTGTTTATTACAATTCAGCTGAAGCGTAATGATTTGGAAGCGCAAATGGCGCCTAAAATTGGCCCCTTCTGGAAGATTTGAATTACAGTATTGTGAGACGTGGCCTAGTTGTAGGGCACTTGACTCCAATGTGTGAGTAGCGGGATCAAATCCCCAAACATGATCGCCTTTCAGCCGTAGAGGCGTTATAATATAATGGTTAATCCCACTATTCGAAGATAAAGAGTAGCCCAAGAGTTCGCGGTGGATAATATTGACTAGCTGCCTTTCCTCTAGTCTATCACTTCAAAATTAGAAATGGCTAGCGCAGGTAGCCCTGGGGTAACTTTGCACAAAAGTCAACAAAAAACTTTATTAAAGTTTTTCTTCATTACCCATTCAAGCCGTCTCCAACCATTATTAGTCTCAAAGTGGGTTCCTCGTCATCGAATTTGAATATTGAACTCAGTGTGTTGAGCAAAAAACCTCCTGCAATGGAAACTGCATTGCAGAGCAATAGTCTATAAACATGGAATACCGTTGGTGGTAAAAGGAGGAGCCATGGGGTTTAGACCTTCATCTTTGCATTGTTACCATAAATTTTGAACAAATGTCTGTAGTAGATAGATTCAGGGATATTCTTGCCATCTGGCAGAGGAAAGCTCCCTGCCTAAACGCAATCCTTCTCCCCAAGATTTTGTTTTCGCTTGAGGGTTTTATTTCTAGAAGGTATGTCTTGGTGTGAAAAAGCTAGAAACCATTAAAACTTTATCATTTTAGACATACTTATAAAAAAAATCTTGGGAAACATAACCAGGCCATGTTTATAGATATAATGCGTCTTCAACACTTGAATACCACGCGCCACATCAATCAACAAACAAAATCTTCCCTTCCCCAGAAAAAAAAGTCTGAAATAAAACCCATGTAGGTTATTTCATTTAAAAAAAATATATAATAAAATGCCTTTTTAACAATGGTATTCCAGAGAGACTCATTGTATACTCTTTAAGATCACACCTGTTTCAAGGTTCTTTATTTTTAAAATTGGTTTTATGTTTATAATGACTTTTAGTATTATTGAAAATACTCATATATGTATGTGCAAAGTAAGAAGTAATATGACGAATTAAAAAGGAAATTCGATTTCTTCCCAAAATGAAATTACTCCTTGCGAGTAAAACTATTAGAACTAGAGGTTAACGATACGTTTATCTGTGGTAGGCGTAATAAATATCAAGAAACAAATTTCGCTTGCATTAGATTAAAAGAATATCTAAATATTGTGTGAAAGTTAAACTTCATCATTTTTCGTCATTTGGTTTCAAGTAAATTTTCTACCAATTATTATTATAAATCCAAACGGTTTTAACACAATCGACATTTAATTTCAAAAATCAAAACCTCAATATATTTACAACTACTACCTCAATGCCCCTAAAAAACTGAATAGACCCATTAATTCGTTAACATTTTATTTATAATGCTCCACGTATACAATAAGTTGTCACTGATACTTACTCGTGTAATTATGTATTAATTTCCTTACCTTGTCAAGCTGTTCAAAAATTTTATCTACCCTTCTTTTAGGGTTATCTTCTTCAGTTTCTGGTTGGGCTTTACTGCCCTAAAATAATTATCAAATGTATCTTATTACATAAAGTGCACTGAGAAATAATCTACAAATCAATATTACAGCATATACTACATCATCATATAATTGCTTTAAATATTATTTTATTCATGAACTATGTAGTGGAGACATAAATTATTTGCGTGACTATAAAAATACTGTACTTAAAAAATAAAATATTGTATTCAGATTACCTACCGATAGGATACGCTTATTCAACTACTTTATTGCAATGCATATAACTATAAAGCCTGAATATAATGCGGAATATTGGTCTTTACAACACTTACTCCGATGCAACACGCAAAAAAAAAGAATCTATGAAGCTATCTACAACTTTCACATACTAACGAGATACGAATAGAACATCAACCAGTTTACATATTTTGTTCTAATAATAAAGATGACTAAGCAGCCAATGATAAATTAAATGTAACATTACTGATGAAACCCACTTTTTTATTATTAAACATTCTTCTAAACTGTTGTTGCTCTTAACTGCTCGTGTTTCCATGACTTTGTTGGTTTCAGGATCACTAACAACATAAGTCAGAAAAACTTGTAAATAAAGTATAATTAATCTCACTAATTACAACTAAGTATTTTACTTAGAAAATAAGTGATTTCACTCAATTATTTTTCATCCAGTTTTTTTTACATTTTACATTTAGTGTTGTGATAGTTAAAAACAAAAATATTCTCAATATTATGAACATTTGGACCTCACATACAAAATGCTATAAAATATAAAAACACCAAGAAACATAAGAAAAATATAAAGTCAAACTATAAAATCATGTGAAAATGCAGTACGTGTATACCAGAAGTCTATATTTGTTTGTCCCTAATTACAAAGCTACACAATGAGCAATCTACGCTGTGTTCACGCACGTATCGAATCCAGATTTTTAGTGTTATAAGCCTCCAAGCTTATCACTGAAGTTTATGATTATGTTAACTGAATTAATTTTGGATAGAAGGTAAATAATGTTATAGTGATTATACATACGACAAGCTAATAACAGACGGTACTTATTTGACCTATCAACTAAATTCATTTAGGGAAAACAATTTAAACCACATATTTTTTTAACAATCAAGATCGTCATCAAATAAGAGCAAACCGTGTAAAACATTTTAATAGTAAACAAAACAGGATAGAACAGTGTATTAAACTCACCATAAAGTAACCTATGCGCATAAGAAGTTAGCTTATTAATAACATTGCACCCTGACCGAATGTGCCCAGAGTGTGAATCTGAAGATTCATGGCTCGCGAATCGTTGCTACAGAAACGCCCTATGAGCTGTGGGTGCCATAAAAACGTAAAGGACAAATCTCACTATTCGATCAGATAGTAGTATGGTTAAAGAGTTGGCGGTGTATGATGCTGATTAACTGCCTTTCCTCTAGTTTATCAATTTAAAATCAGGGGCTGCTCTGCTCAGATAGTCCTTGTGTCGTCTTGCGCAAAATTCTGAAACAATAAATAAGTTAAACAGAGATAGGAAACGTGACGAATCCTATCCCAGATGGTGTTGTCCATCCAGTCATGCAGTTTAAACCTATTAAACAGACATATGTAAAAAGGGAACAAATGGACCAGTAAGGTAAAATTCACCCTAGAAATAAAATAAACAGCCTAACAGGAGTTTTTCAACTAGTCAAATAATTTAAAAGAGGGCGCTTATTAGAGCACTCAATTATCCTAACACAGGTTATCAAAAAGGTTTCGATACCTGTGGTGGGAAAAACGCAGATAGCCCATTGTGTAGCTTTGTGCTTGACTTTAAACAAACAAACAAAAATTAAAAGTTCTTAAATAATACCATTCAGCTATTCACTACGAGAGACAACGAGTTTTATTCCATCCGCTATGAGAGACTGAGAAACAACGTGTTTTATTTCATCTACTATGAGAGACAACGTGTTTTATTCCATCCGCTATGAGAGACTGAGAAACCACGTGTTTTATTCCATCCACTATGAGAGACAACGTGTTTTGTTCCACCCATTATGAGAGACAACGTGTTTTATTCCATCCGCTATGAGAGACTGAGAAACCACGTGTTTTATTCCATCCACTATGAGTGACAACGTGTTTTGTTCCACCCATTATGAGAGACATCGTGTTTTGTTCCACCCATTATGAGAGACATCGTGTTTTATTCCATCCACTATGACAGACAACGTGTTTTATTCCATCTACTATGAGAGACAACGTGTTTTGTTCCACCCATTATGAGAGACATTCGGATTATCATAAAGCAAACAAAATAACAAGAGCTACAACAAATATAAGTTACGACTGTAAAGTAATAATGAAATCAGGCACGAAAAAAAAAGGATTTGTCACAAATATGTTTCATACTTTCAAGGAGTTTCGACACTAGACGAGATCTTGAAAATGAGATTTTCCATAATGCGCTTACGTTAATTAACAACTTCTGATAGATGACATTTTCGATAGCTGATATTAATACCTAAACCTGGCATGGCCTGGAGGTTAGGGCATTAGACTCGCAATCTACGGATCGCGGGTTCGAACCCCCTATATTGAACATGCTCGTCCTTTCAGAAGTGAGAGCGTTATAATCTGATGATCAATCCCACTATTGGATTACAGTAGCCCAAGAGTTGGCAGTGGATGGTGTTGACCACTGTTTTTCTTCTAGTCCTTCATTTCTAAATTACAGACGGCTAGCACAGATAACCCTCGAGTGATTTTGCGCACAAGTCCAAAACAAAGCAAAACAGACACCTGGTTTGATGCTGATCATCATCATCTGGTTGATGGACCATATGATACTTACTAATATCTAGTGGGACAAGACGTCACGTCTAAGTAACTTACCGACTACTAAATTGTACTTACCATCATTTGGTAGATGGCGTCTACAATACTGTACATTTCTTCTCGCGTGATGTATCCATCATTGTCCACGTCATACAGCTTGAACGCCCCTATAATGTAACCATTCAATTTAAACAATACATAAAGATATGCATATACTTTCATAGCATTACTTAACGAACCTTGTATAAGAAGTTCTGTATTCCTTGAATAATAAATAGTATTCCACTCTGTAAATTAGCATGACACTCTCTGCTGATCTTCTGCCAAATAGCTGCTAGTATTCTCTACCAGTTAAGTATATTAAATCTCATTGTATGTATATAATATTTCAATAAAAGTGAGACAGTAATAGGTCTACTCATTACCAATGACTGAAATAAATAGTTTAAGACTGACCTCTGCATTTGAGCTTTTCAACAAGACTATATTAACACGTGGTTCTCTTCTGAAAACTTTTTAAGTTAGTCATTACTTACACACGAGTTTTTCGTCCAAGTTGCCTCGTGATGTCACGGAAAGAGCTCGAATAAACTCCTCGAATTCGATTGTGCCATCCTGGAAAGAAAGGAATTATGTTTCAATACGTTTATATACCACATATGAAACTGTTTAACCAATAATAATAATTAATACACACGTAGATACTGAGAAGTACATAACTTTAGCTGCTGCTGTTTGGTAATATGAATGGCTGAAAACAGTACCATTGTCTGTTACTTATTATCAGAAAGTAACTATTTGTAACTTACCATTATCATTATCAGTAACTTATGCGTATTTCAAAAACATTAAGGGGATGGCACAAAGGTTCCTAGTTTTTCCTCTTTAGCGAAACTACATACACTTTTTTATAATTTTCTCAAGTCTTTGTCACTTTAGTTTACTAGCTTATGCCACTAAAATAAATTACTACAGCTTGTTGTTCAAGAACTAGGGTAAAGAGGCAAGGATGATCGTACCAGTTTCTTCTTCCACAGTTAATGGTATTCCGTGTGATGACCTTGGTCATGGACTATTGCCCCTCAGCACCATTTTTCACCTGTAGGAGATTTTTTGGAAATGCACTGAAGTCAATGTTGTCCCTCTCCTCATGTTTTCCCTACCTTTGTCAACCATATGATTTCTAAGGATTCATGTAACCCCAAAACATAAAAGTCAGTGTTTTCCTTCTTCTCATTACACGTTTTACAAACTTTATCAACCGCACGAGTGGACGATGATTTCTAAAGACCCGTGCAACCAGAAAACGCGGAAGTCTATGAGAGACGTTTACGAAGTCATAGAATTATTTTTCATTTTACTCGCATCCTGAAGAGGAACTACCATGCTGATGTGTGGTTGAAAGTTTTATCTTGATGAAGCCATATTTTAGTGGAATCCAAGCTGTAAAACAATATTTCCTCTATTTGTAGTGGTGTCAACACATTAATTTGACAGCATAGAATCAATTTTTCATTTGTCTTGATTCTCCTGATATCTAACTTACCATTAAAGCTGTAACCTATAACATAAATCCCCTGGAAACACTTTCATGACATGTTATGTACCGTTCTTTATATCGTGTATCATCAGCATGACAATAATAAATCGTCTGGAGTCTTGCAGACACTTCAAATACAACTTTCGATTTCTGTTTAGCTACGTGCTTTGGGATAAGTTTATGAACAAAGCTCTTGTGTAATGGAATCCTGCTTTGGCCATTTTTATCACAGGGTAGCCCACACAGTACAATGTTTGCAAAATCGCTCAACGTTATGAAATGAATAAAACCAGAAAAACCACCTTGGCACGTTATCACAACTGTGGAAAACACCACGATGATCTCCAGTTCTTGCATGATGAAAAGTGTGAAGTGGTTCTCGTTTCACAGTTCCGGGATTACTATTGCATTACAGAACCACGTCTCCGCAGTTTATAACGATGGTACAACACATTTTCTCGTGTGTAAAAGTGACATAGAGCACGTGTTCCTGTACCAGTGACAGTCATGCTTCTCCTTGCTGCACGGCAAGTTGTGCCCAAGCTAGAACTGGGTCTTTCAATTACTCTTCTCATAAGTCCTGAAGCATCATTCGTGGAGTCTCTCCACATCACATATTTCATGACTCGTCACTAGCTTTCACAACCACTCGGTGCCCAGGGAACATTCAGTGAACGAGCTATCACAATCTGGCGAGACAATCTATTTACATTTTTGTGGTGTTGGCCTATAATGTATGGCGAAGTCCTGCAACATTTTTATTTAATGTGGGATCATGAATTACAGACTTTTAAAGTTCCTAAGCCAAGGTCCATTCGAACGTTGATCCTCTTACCATACTTGATAAATACAACTGCAAGAAGTTTTTATTTTGAGGCATGCAGTATCTTCGTTCAAGAGATTTCAGTGTACGACTTGTGTACGCGATTATACGTTCTACTCCACCAGTAACTGTGACAGCACTGCTCTAATTCCACTATCACTAACATCAGCATTCAAGATGAATATATTACCAGATCCTGGGTGTGCAAACATTACAGCCTTGATTAAAGTACGCTGAAGTGACTGAAACTCTGGTCGTCAGTCCTTCTAAAGTTCACTTTTGCTCTAATCAGTATACAAAATCGTGCAGCTATCTAGGCGAAATTGGTCAAAAGAAAAAAAGTTGATAATACGGCGTGAAACTTAGGAATCCAGTCAATCATGAGTTTGGGTATTTACAGGGTTGACCAACGCATTGTACCTTCCCATGATGTGACGACGGAATCTCATCCATGTAATCAAAGAATCCCATGATGTGACCAAGGAATCCCATCCATGTGACCACTTCTCTGGTTCTAATTTCAGTCTATCTTCACTGGATGTAAAAAACATAACCAGGTTTCAGCAGCAAATTGAAAAGTGTGACAAAACAACAAGACGTCATCGACACAGCTCAGACATTTCTTTCTTTGTAGCCCTCTCAATGTAAACTTCATCAGCTGCTCACAAATAGCAGGCATTTTATGTTGATTGAATAGCATAACACAAAATTCATACAAACCATCTCGAGTGCTAAAAGCAGTCTTTAGTCTGCTTTAATTGTCCACTTCAACTTGTTAATGTACGGAATCCATGTCTTAAGTGCTGAACCAGTAAGTACCTTCCATTGCGTCCAGACATCCGTTTATTCGTGAAAAAATATCAATGCATATCACTACATTCCCCCGCATAAAATCAATTAGAGCTTTGATTTATTTAATTTAAAGTTCCAAGAAAGATTCTTACTTTAGCTACAATGAACCAAAGTGTTACTGAGTTACTTCCAGTAACAAAGTGTTTTAACTTTCTTTGTTGCCTCGGGTGAGCGACTGGATGCCATTTGTGGAATAGCCTGTTTTTTGTCTGTTCAAATCACGCCTACCCTTGCTTTTATCGATATGGTTCAATATTACAGATATCTCTTTCTTCAAAAGGATAAAGCTTTATGTCTCATATGCTTTTGTAATCACGGAATGAGAAAAGGTCGCATCAGAAAGTTATGTAACTTAAACCATCTAAAAAAAGATGGATCTTAGGCACCACCTGCACTTGATAATCACCACACTTCAGTTGAACCACAAAATAGGATCTGGGCCTTTAACTTGTGTACTTAGAAGCCACGGGCAAAGTGGTTGGATGTGCATGTGTGTGTGTTTTTCTTATAGAAAAGCCACATCGGGTTATCTGCTGTGTCCACAAAGGGGAATCGAACCCCTGACTTTAGAATTGTAAATCCGTATAATTGCCGGTGTCTCACCGGGACACAAGTGGCTGGATATGTAAATTGTAACTAAAGAATGAAAAAGTTATATTTTATGCTGGAATAAGATGTTGTTTACAACAGAGTTTTTACAGTGGTATGCTCGTATAGCACAGATATATTTATAGGCATATAGCTACAATACAAAAGATAAGTAGCACTTATTTGCATGTTGAACGAGGACAGTAGACCTCGTTATCATATTGGGTAAAATATACAATGCATAGAATGAACTGACTATTTCTTCGATAATAAAGACAAGGGTCACGAATAAAACATTAGACATACTTGGAATTAGCGGAACATGCCAGAATCCAATCAACAAGAAAGACTGAAAACAATTACCTATAGATTAGAGGGAGTAAAAGGAAAATAACAGGAACTGGAAATACACGAAATCATATAATGCATTTATAAACAGTTAGAGAAACAATCACAGTTTCAAGGTATGTACTGAAAGTATAATAACCAACTAAACTGTTACATTATGTTTTACTATCCGAGTTCTCAAGGAAACAAGTTGAAAATTTTATTATGTTCTAAACCATTTCTTGCTGCTGATATTACGTTGTTGTTGTTGTTTTTCTTAGTGCAAAGTTATATAAGGACTAGTTGTGCTCTTTTCACTGCGGGAAATCGAAACCTGGATACTTGCATTGTAAGTCTCCAACGGGGGAGCTGCTAACAATTACAAGCATAAAAGCGAACCTTGTGAGTTGCTCAAAAGTTTACAGGTTTTACAACAAAAACTAACTCGTAAGCTTTATAGACCAACTATTTTGAATGAACTTTGAAAAACGTCTATTCTTTTACTTTTATGGCTAAGCTAGCTAGACAGTTTAGATATAACTTTGATGTTACACGAGTGAAAAGCAATAATAAAAAAAATAACGACTAAACAAATAATAACATTTTTAACGCACCCAAACTCTATAGTAAATCTACTATCAACTCGAAATGTATAAAACTTTACAAGAAAAAAAAATTAATTTTGTACAGTCGAAACGTGACGTAGTTTCAAAATTCGAAAAATTATACGTGTAATGCCACTTACAAAAAAACATACTTAGAAATATACAGGTGAGATGTTTTTATCGTTCTATTAGTTAGCGACAACCAAGTAAAATACAGTGTTCAGAAATATTTTGTTGCATTTAAACGATGTGATGGATGAGTTAACATTTTTGAAGATATTATTAAGACCAATATATTAATACTAGAGAACAATTTGTCCATTCATCATGCATTGGGTGCTTTCCTTTTAACAACGGTTCTGTAATAACATTTTTGAAGATATTATTAAGACCAATATATTAATACTAGAGAACTATTTGTCCATTCATCATGCACTGGGTGCTTTCCTTTTAACAATGCTGCCATGGGATCAGGCATTGTCAGTGTCATTCCAACTCTCTTGCCTACTAATATCTTAGGTCTATGTTTCCAACCAAAACAAATGCATAAAACCTTATTAGAGTTACACCAAAGAACTTTACAGGTACTTAATCAAAGGGGATTGCTGTAATCCCAGTTCCTTCGGCCATTTTTCTCCTCAAAATGCCCGTTGATTTTAAGGTATAGATCTAAGCTTGTTATTCTTCATCAACTCCAAAACCTCGTTTATTATCGTTTTCAAGTACAAGGAGATATGTCTGCATTAATAAAAATTGAATTTTTTAGTTGTGGGTTCTTATACGCAACCATAGTTTTCACTTTGTGGATGAGGAAGTTGGTCTAGGTTGGCTTAGTTTAGGAGTCTGTTGCTATCCTAAATGCTTCGCTTTGCGAGTTTTC